TCATTCTTCCTGACAATACTTCCCAAGAACAACTTCCTCAAGATCCCTGGGATAATATTGTCTCAGGTCTCGAAGCACTCGGTGGCCCTATGGACAACGACAACGAAAGAACTCTCTCCGTCGAAGAGGTTCCATTGATCCAAGCAGACCTTAGCTGGGGGGATATCCTGCGTGAGGGCACTGTCACACATATGCCTCGGCCATCTCTTCTGGCCATCACCATGCTTCCAGTCAGTGGAGGATCCAAGAAGACATGGCAGAACTCCCCTCCCATCCCTCCTCACCCGAGTATTGTTCAGCGCCGCATGGAGCTCCTCACTTCTGACATGCTTACCCGTGCTCTCACTCTGGTCAGCCGCGGCCAACACGACCGTGCCCATACACTATTGAATGAGACTCGATCTATTCTGAAGGGTCTCGGAAAAGGTGGACTCCCCCCCATCCCCCCTCCAAGCAAGTCGACCCCTTCGGCCCCCTCCACTCCCCATCCCGCGAACGACGCTTCGCCGGGTCAATCAACCACTCCCGATCGCAAACGCAGCCCTTCACCGCCTGCTTCGGCAATCTCTGGTGTAAACGGTCTCCCTTCCTCGCAATTGGGCCGTAGCCGATCTAACGATGGCCTTGGGCTTGGTGCTGGAATTGATGCCAATACTGTCGCCGCCCTTGATGCCGAATTAGAGAGTAGTCTGGAGTGGATCAACCACCCTGCTGTTTTCAGTCGCGACAGTAGAAAGGCCGTCCTGCAGGCAATTGGCGTAATAAGCTCCCAGCGAGCTTTCACATACCGCACCCCTATCGAGGGGCTATGGGCTTGCCGCGTTAGCGGCGTCAAGAAGCTCACGGAGAAGAGTCGAGAATGGCGTGAGGATGGTGGCGGTGAGGGCGGAATCACAGAAGAATCTTGATCTTCATAATCGTTTTCGCCCATTTCCTCTTTCTTCATTTACTGTCATAGCCGAAATAGCGCTCGGGTTCTATTTTCAGCTTGACTAACGACCGATCATGACCAAAATATTCAGATGCTTCCCACGCTATTACACATGCATTTGTTGCTACTGCTACTTTATACTCGCTACTTGCTTTCTTCAGCCGATGAAGGGATGCATTATCTCTTCCGGCTTCCCTCTGGAATTGTTCGATACCCCTGGAATCTACCAACTATCTGGCGCACATTACACCTTATACTCGTAGTATATACCTGCTTCACCATCTTGCATTAATAGATCTTTTTCTGACTCACTGCAATTGGTCTAATCCAGCTTTACCCGCTGCGATATTGCCTCGCAGATGTTCCATGGTTCGCATTTCCTCTTCAGTATGTTGGAAACAGCCTGTTATACTCCTGTATTCTGCTGATCCTTTTGCATAATGGGGTGTATTGATGTGCTGGATGGATAGATAGCCTTTTTCTGCCTTATATACACTGCGTTTCTGGATTATCTGCACATATAAATAGTCATAAGCGGGAGGGGACTTAACGAAGTCGATGCATGAAAATACTTAACTTGATATATCACTGTTGACTCTTAAGTAGAAATATCCTCCCTTCTTGTTTTCGACATAAATGGGGGGCAGAAATCACCACCTTATATGAATGACCCTTCTCATCCGCAATAGCTTTGTCACAGTATCTGAATTGGCTCTTGAAATTTGAAGTCCATAATTGCGGTACGAAGTCTGACAGAACTGAGCGATCTAAGTCGAGGGCACAGCAAAATTTACAACAGGCTACTGGACAATCTTAATGAACATATGTCTATGCCTTGACTCTGTTATCTGAGAGGATATCTAACCAACCACGACACCAGGTGATCGTCACACATATCACATCCATTGCCGATTTTGAACTTTTTAGTTTTATCCATTTAGTCCTCGTCCCAGTTCTGTGGCATTTGGTCAGTCCAAGCTTCTTATAGGAAGGGGGAAGGGAACGTACAGGGTTGGGTCCAGGGGGCTTGGGTCCTCCAGCTTGTCGTGCCACGATGATCTGGTCAACAGACAAAACGGTGCGGGCGGCTTCCGTAGCAAGTTTGATGGCCCACTGCTTGGAGATGAGAAGATCCAGAATACCTTCATCCTTGGCATCGATAGTACCAGTGTTATCATCGTTCTGTGGCATGGGTTAGAAATAGAATCATCATAGATAGATCAGAACGGACCTCAATATCAACGCCAATGTCCCAAGCGTCACTGTTTGCATGGGCAGCGTAAAGTCGGCTGAGAACCTCGGTGGCGTCAAGTCCGGCGCTCTCAGCAATGGTGCGAGGAACAACCTCAAAAGCCTCACCATACTTCTTGATCGCGTACTGGCTAAGTCCGGGAGTCTTCTCACCGTGAGCTTGTATCCTTTCAACCAGCTCGACCTCTGTAGCACCGGCACCAGGAACCAACCGCGGATCGCGGGTAATGGCTTTGACGACGTTGACACCATCATCGACGGCGCGCTCAATATCATCAAGATGGTTCTGGGTTGCTCCTCGAAGCACAAGGGTGGCGGTTCGAGTGACCTCATCCTCCTGGCGGAAGACTGTAACTCGGTCTCCACCAATTTCAAGGGTCTCAACAACATCGATGCTTCCCATCTCGTCGGGCATAGGAGCCCCTAGCCTCGCCAAGGGGGTGGCACCGACAACACGGCAGACTCTTCGAAGTTCGAACTTGCTGAGAATTCGGATGCACAAAATTCCAAATCTGTTCAGGTAGTGCATCGCCAAATCGCCGACACGCTCACCACAAACAACAACTCGGAGGCCAGAGTCGTAAAGTTCCTTGATGGAAGTCTCGAGTTGAGACTCCTCACCCTTTGTGAAATCCATCATCTCTTTGGCGTTGTGCAGGAGAACAGTACCCTTGGTCTCGGTTTGACCGGCGTCAATAGGACAGGTGAAGACACCAACCTTGGCGCGGCTGGCCTTTTTGACCGAACCATCAGGCTCCTTAGGGAAGACCATGCCCTTAACGACCCTGCTCTGCTCCAGGCTTCCACCCATGATCTTGACCACGCGGATATTGTCGACATTAAAGTTAGCGGGGTTCTTGGGGAGAACATTGAGAACAGCCTCGGCAACAAGATCGGCAAGGAATGCCTCGTTTCCGTTTTGCTTGCTGGCAATAACCGTGCTGATGGCCTTGCTCAGCTCTTCCTGATCTCGCATATCCTCCACTTTGTCAACAGCAAGTTCTTCAAGGGTCTCAAGAGCAAATTTCTGGGCCTTCTCATAGCCGATGACGATGTCTGATGTCTTGAGGCCCATGCGCAGCAGATCCTCTGCCTTTCGAAGCAGCTCGCCAGCGAGGACAATGACAAGGTTGGTAGCATCGCCCATCTCGGCTTCTTGTTGCTGACTAGCCATGACGAGGAGTTTGGCAGCGGGGTGGACAACGTCGAGTTCGCGTAGGATGGTCGCAGCGTCAGAGGTAAGAATCATTTTTTGCAAATGGTTGATGACAATCTTGTTGCGGCCATAGGGGCCAAGCGAGGTCTGAACAGTGGATGCAATGGCTCTGCAGGCGTCGATATTGCGAAGTACAGCACCATCTTCGGAGTCGTAGCTATTGAGAGAAAGAGATAGATTTGTTAGTCGAATTCATAAAAAGTTCATTTACTGATTGTTGTGATCATGAAAGTGGCACTTTGTAAGGAGGCAAGGAAAGAGGCGGGGAGCTACCAACACAAGGAGGGGAGCAACTCACTTGTTATAACCTTGCTTGAACAAGCCCGCGTTGGGGGCGTTGGGGATATTGAGCGACATCTTCACGGCCACAGCGCTCAGGAGGCGATGTTCTTAGTTGTGGCTGTATAAGATATGTCGTCAACTATGTGTCTGGTTTGAAAGTCGAGGTGATACCTGTTGATGGATAGATTTCGCCTGCTAGCTTCACAGTGTCCCACCACCCAAGTCTGAAAAACTTCCACGGGGTGATTTAGTGGGTAGTGGGTACGTACCCGACTGCCTGCAGTCAGAGCTCGTTCCTACCAGCGCGGCGCTCTACCTCTACCTTACAATGATGAGTACAGTTGATTGCGAATGAGTGGCTGCTAAGCTTATGGAGTTTCGAAGGCAAATAAGAATCACTTATACTATTATACTTGAGAATCCCTGATCAGCAACTTTACCTCAGGTAGTGAAAACCTAACCTAGCAGCCTAGGTGCCTTACATATAAGCATTCTTGCTGATAACAGCCTCAATTTGAGGGGCAGATTCAAGGGTCTCGCTGTCCAATCAGACATAATTTCCGCCACACCCCCTGAAGGAGTCGTCAGCCTTGCATGCCGTTGTGGCTAAGGAGTACGCCCGCGAAGCTTTGGTGACGGGAACGAACTGACACCGTCCAGGTTTGCGACTCGTGATGGCTGATTGACACACTCACTTTTTAACACCTTTTCACACTGATACCCACGACCAGCGCCATACCTAGATACTAACGCCAGATCCTCTCGCCTTGGTTACGAAGCTTCTTCTTTGTCTTGTTGCCTGATCGATTTCAGCGTTCATCAATTACAGATTCATGTGGACACCACCTGCCAGTGATTCTGAATAGTGAGCTTAACAACCTGACTTACCTAGCGAATCGTCACGCGTCAAGCAATCACTCCTGAACTCACAGCGAACTTTGACAGCCGACGTCGCAGTTATCTTTCCTCGTCTCAAATCGAATCTTTTCCAGAAACATACATACATACCAATTGTAGAGGCAATATTATAGTTGTGTTTCATAGCTGCCTAGGTAGTAGCTAGCCAACCATGCCCGGTAAGTCATTCGCCCATGACAGAATCGCTCACTGTCAACGATCGCTCCTGGTGGGTTCTGTTGGTTGCTCCAACCCTCAAACTCACGGCTCAAGTTAAGGCCAAGGCACATCCCTTACACCATCTACCACACGGCCCTCATTTGCCCTGCGCTTCACAACCACACTCTTCTCCTTCGCTGCGCGTTCCTGTATTGTTTTCACGGCTCTCGCATCATCACCTCGCCTCCACATCAAACGCCCAGAATGACCATAACACTCAAGCGCAAAGCATCAGAAGCTGACCTCCCTCCTCGCACACCAGCGATTCCTTCTACACTCCCTCCTTCCGTGGAGGAGGCCTATCGTCGAAAATGTGTTCAGCTGAAGAACCGCACCAATGAAGTTGAAGACGCCAATGATGCCGCTCGACTTCGCCTTGCTCGTATCAAGCGCCAGGTTGAAAAGTTGCGAATAGAGCGCGCTTTTCTCCTCGAACAGCTCGCAAAGCGCACGAGCGCAAATGTCGAGGATTCAGACGGCAGCCCAAGCCCACCCCCTACGGTATGCTATTATTTTCTTCCCATCCCTCTTCTCCCTTTGCCTGGCAATCCTCTACCGGCCTGCCGCGCCTCTACTACTTACGGCGCCCGGTTCAATGTTGATGCTTTTGCGCTTGGATTAGGACTACCAATTCACCATACCAAGTGAGTTAGCTAACCACCAGAAGCCCAAAGATAAGCCTCTGCGTACGAAGAGAGGCCACCGAAAGTCGATGATGCCTGATTCCGACTCGAAGGCACCAGTCGCTGCCTCTTTTACCAACACCGCCGGCTCCCCAACTTCCGAAACCTTCTCACACCCTCCAGAAAGCCAACCCAAGCCGGCTCATGCCAACGGTATCTCTGCGAGCGATTCCAAGAAGCCCACCAGTGCATTTGAGCTGTTTTGCTCAGAAACACGGCCTGGTCTCGAGAGTAAGGAAAAGGACAGCGAGATCCCTTTGAACATTGAGGATGAGCTCGCTCGTGTCTGGAAGGGTCTCTCGGATGGTGAGAAAGATGAATACGAGGCAAGATTCGAACTTTCGATGGCCAAGAACGAGGAGTCGAAGAAAAGCCCCGCATCTGACAAGAAGGATGATGAGCCTGCTGAGCCCAAGCAACTCGTTCAGGACGAGGACATAGAGATGGGTGATGACACTGAGGATCAAGATACACAGGCTGGCGAGAAAGTCGAGTAATGAGGACATCCATTGAATGTCTCGAGGCGTTTTGGCGGGTATACGATTTCGCATGTCATGACATCAACCCATGTACTAGTAATTAGATGCTTTTCACAACAAAAAACTAAGTTCAGAGAACGGATTCAATAGATTAAGAAACGCGGCTTCTTCGCGCGCATCGTTCTGAAACCTAGCCGTGGAGTCATCTATCTGATATCTGCAAGTTTTACACGTACTCCTGGTCGCTTTGTTTGTGGATTTTTATCCCAAATTACAACACAAAGACAAGATGAACCTCCGTTAGCTGAATTTTCTATTTCTTCCCCTTCCTTCTCCCTTCCCCAATGAAAAAATGGCCGAGATCCCATGGCTGAAGAAAAGCTCATTCGCCGACATACAAGTCCACTACAATATTGACAGCTGCAACTAGAATTTCTGCCGCAATAAGAACAATTACTGTCAAGTGGTTAGCATACTGCATGTGTCATAGAATGGCGCTTAGCATACCGATCCATTCAAGCTTCTCGTCATGGCCATGGCTGAGCTCTCCTTTTAGCACAGCCAACAAATCTGCTATGACATCGAGACGTTCTGTCAGGAGTCCAACGCGCTGATCCATCTCTAAATAACTCCTCACGGCTTGGTACACGGGTTCAAGTTGGGGCTCTACCCAGAAGAGCTCGGGTGTATCGAGTACCGAGCCGTTAAGGTGGATGTTGATGCGAAGGATGAAAAGTTCTCCAATTTGCATGTTGATCTGTGATCGCCGAAGTGCAATTTTCCCCGTTGTGGCTATTTGTGTAGGAATATCTTTGCATGTGTCAACTGTTGATGCAATCAGCTCTTCGAAGAGTGAAGTCTGCAAGCTGTTAGCAAACCATCCCGATATAACCCTTATTAGCAGGTTAGCTTACTTTGACACTTTGTGCCAGTGCATGAGAAATAGCTAATTTCGTCATGTAGTTGTTCTTGTCGCGGAGAGTGATAAAGTCATTATAGATACGGGCCTGATAATCCTTTGTGTAGTAAAAGTTGAACAACTCAGTCTCGACATCATCTGGGGCAAGCTTCTCTGTCTCAAACTTGGCGATCTCTTTCAGGAACCGGGCTTCTTGAGCTTCGGTCATTCCCCAGATGACAACCACTCCATAATCGAAGAGAAACACCTCGGGTGTGTGCACCTGCGTATCAAAATCGGGATTGGTCTCGCTTATCAAGTCGTGATCTTCTACTGCCGAGCCCAGCAGATCTGCGCTGTCAATGTGAGAGCCATTACCGTTACCATTAGCATCGTTATGGGCGTGGCCATTGTGGCCACGAGCCTCTGAACCGGCCTCTTCTAAAGGTAAGTCAGCTAAGTCGCTCCGCTGTTGCGCGACATCAATGGCGTCACCTCCAGTTGAATGCCGGCGTTCATAGTTCTGAACTGGATCGCGACTGCGCGCGTTTTTGGAGGTATAATTATATGGCGTATATATGCATTCGTCGATGAGCTTGGGGTTTGCCCCTCGGGTTTTTCCTCTTCCCTTTAGAAATCTCATCATGGCTTCCATCTCGTATCGGTTTGCAGTGCAATATGCCGTGACACGCGGCAGTCGGTCTCGATCCGCTTTTCCTAGTTTCGCTGCATCTCTCCGTGCAGCTGGATCCTTGATACGTGTGTACTGAGAATAGACATCTCTACCACTCTCCTCGTCCTCAGGGTCGTCCAGGTCGGTGTTGGGAAGCAGCTTCAGCTTTTCCGTCTTTTTCGTACTGCGTTGAGGTCCGATTTTGGGTCCAAAAGATAGATTGGCAACTGCAGGTACAGAACCTTGGCTGTTCCGTCTCCTGAGCTTATTGTTGAGAGCTGTGAGCATGGGAGGGCCGCCAGCGGCGCCGCTGACGGAGCCAGCAGCATGGTGCCCGGGGGATCGATGTTGAAATTGTTGACGAGTAGGTTCAAAGGTTTTTGTAACAGGGTTGTCGCTGAAGGTAACTGATCGTGTTCCTTTGGGTCTGTTCTCTGTGGTAGAGAGTAATGGCGACGACTCATTAAGTGCAGCGTCTGATGAGGTGCCATGGGGATCCATTTCGGTTTAAGCCAGTGACGGTTGAAATGATGAAGTCGAGAAGATAAGTAGATTCGAATCTTTCAGGGCGCAGGTGAAACACTGGCACTGTGCACCACCTCGCTAAAGACCGTAAAGATCAATTGAAATGATACCAAGGCCGTGGCCGGGTTGGACGACGAAGGATGATTGCGGTTGTGGTGTTGAGGTGAAGAACTTTCCCGGGGTTGATGTTACTGGTGCTAATGACGTCTGCCAAACTTCCGCGACCTGACGCGAAGAGCAACCTAATGATCCACCATGCTTGAAGCTCTTTGTGGGGCATTTTCGCATTTCTCTTTTGAGCATCCTCCGTACTACCTCATGTAATTCTTTCCATTTTAATATAGGATAAGCTTTTGGACGTCAAAAGACTCGAGACTGGCTTTGTATAAGAGGAGGAAAACTGGTTAAAGAATTCTAACATTATACTTAGAAACTATCAATCTGCGGTATTTTTGTCACCTCAGATTGAGCTCCTGAGGTTTCTTCTACCATTGTATAAGAAGGAAGATTTCATGGCATTTGACGATACAAATATCAAAGACAAAGAAGTCAATAGCAGCCACTAAACTTCGCCCAAAAAAAGGTCTATCTAAGATTGAACGACGGTCGAATGTCGGTATGATGAAGCTTCTGCCAGTGAATACCGCTCAATGCCTAATCGAGAGCAGGCCCAGGTAAGCCTAGGTAATGTAAAAATGAAGGGCCAGCGACGTAAGAGCGTGAGACTACAGGTTGGCAACATATTTATCTGGGAGATGAAACATCAGTCAAGGAGATAATTTCCCTTACTGACTTGAGGTCAAATGATCTTGGTCTGCGTGAAGGTGATGTAGCCCTGTTGTGTCATTGCTTCTCCATCATATGCAAACGTCTTGTCTTTACTTTGCTAATTAGGTTCAAGCATCAATAATCTTGACATCTGTCCTAAATCCAGACTTGTCCAAGCGGTCAACTAAACCTTGACCTAGGCAGGCTGGTGTATAAGATCCGCCATCGAGCTCAATGTCGTCTTCAAGAATTGTTGCGGCAATCTCAGCAAGGAGCATTCCTGTCACTGCGGGCACAACTGTCAGTAAGAGCTCATGGCCTTTCGGCGTTTTAAACTTACAAAAGTACATGCCACCATGATACCACATACGGCAGAGAGCTGCTTTGCCTGCGGCCTTCTCCGAATCAGGATATGCGATGCCCCGATACTCGATTTCATCTTTGGCCGTGTCCTCACGTTTAGCACCTTCTCCAGGCTGATATACACGCTTTTTGAGAAAGTTCCTCAACGGTGCAACTGATACAAGTAGGACCCCACCGACAATAAGAAGCCAATGAATAAAGATCCCATGGAGCCAGTTGCGGGCTTTCATATGCTCTACCCAAACGAAATTGGGACCATAAAACTCATCTTTGCGAGAGGGTGTACTGGAAAGGAGACCCCAAGTACGTTCAACAACTGCAACATCAGTGGAATTCGTGACAGACGTGGTCTGGAGCCCAAGATTTGGTACGGTCCGAACGCCAAAAATCATCTGGAGAATGGAGCTCTTGGGCCGTGTTGGATCCTTGTGTTTGACAGGTGACTGGGCATACGGGCTACTAGCCTCCTTGATCTCCTGAAGCGAGAAGACATCCCAGATACTTAAGGCGGTAGCGAGTGTGCCACCGGATGGTGCCGAGCTATGACTCAGTTAGTTGTTTGAACTATACCTTCTTGTTCAAGAGCTGTACTCACTTGATTTTGTGGAGAGAAACGACCACATCTCTTGTCTGAGAGCCTAAATCGGTACGAATAGCCTTGGCCATGGTCCATGTGATGAGATCAGCGGGAGCCGACTCAATTCCAGCTTGTGGGATCAAGATAGCACCTGTCTGTTTCGCAGTTGTTTCATATTTCTTGATCATCTTATGAACCCAAGCAGCTTCGCCCGTGACATCTACGTAGTGGGTTCCGGCCTCGGCACAAACCCTATAAGCATGCTCACCGTACAGGCTATATGGTCCAATGGTGGTTACGAGGATACACGTCTTCTTTGCCAGAATACTCAAATCGGCGTCGTTCAGGTTTACGACCTCAATGGCTAATTGCGATCATCAGCTTGTAGACTATAAAGGATCAACAAGGAATGTTGTTGGGCGATACCTGGTGGCAGTCGATCAGGATTGAGTTTCTGACACTCTTCAACCACAGCCTTTAGCTTGCCACTGTTTCGGCCCGCCAGCGCCCATTTGAGGTCAGTTGCAAGATGCATTGAAATGTATTCAGCCGTCAATTTTCCCGTGTAACCTTGGCTACAGTCAGAATTCGGCTATAGCCTCACTTAAAGGCTCAACTAGAAGTAAGAACTCACCAGTTGCCCCGAGGACAACGATGTCGTACTGACGACCATGATGCTTGACAAAGGGCATTGTCAATCGGCAATTAGTTCGGGAAGGAATTGAATAAGACTTGATATTAAGGTCAATTGAAAGTAGAAGAAACAAAATTTTATATAGGTAGTCAATGCGAGTCGATTAAAACAAGGTACTGTGTAGGACTGCGTGCGAGACGGTCAAGTTGGGGTTACTGTCTTTGGTATCATGATGCCGAGGGACGATCAGTTTGGCTGTGCGACCAGGCACCCTTGTAGGTGCTCAGAGCGTCATTCCGCTCCTAACATTGGGATCTTATCTCGATAAGGTGGCATTCATCAACAAGCTTGGTCCTGAACGAATGAGATGTGATGATGTCTTCACATGGGCTAAATCGACATGATAGAATTTTAACTTGAGCGAGGAACCGTAGCAAAAGAGATTCACTCCGTCATTAAAGCATATGCCTTTCAAGCTGACTGATAAAGAAGTTTACAGAAAGTTTCTTTCCACCTCGAGCATTGACAGCCCTAGGTTAGTACCTAGAGAGTTCTTCGAATGGAATTTAAGGGATCGTGAGTCATGTTCTAACAATATCTCCACTTTCGCTGAATCGAAGCACGTGAGCCCAAAGCTCTCTCTCTCTCTGCCGAAATTCTTCCGATCGAGCACCGAAAAAATTCAAGAAAGTGGGACCCACTCGCTTCCTGAATGGGCTTGCCCTAAGGACCACAAGTTCTTTCCTCAACATTCAGTGTCAGCCTCCAACAGTCGAGCAACATTCACCTCCGCCGTCTTTATTCCTTCCAAGACGTCCGACACATATCCTTCAAGATGACCAAGCGAACAAAGAAGGTCGGTGTTACGTATGTATTGTCCTTCAGCTCAGCATCAGAGCAACGGCAGCTAACAAGTTCGCAGCGGTAAATACGGTACCCGGTAAGTTTCACGACGAAAATCCCATATCCGAAGCATATCGATACCGGTTTCCCCTGCTCCCTTTCGCAACGACTCCTCCACTGCCCGTGGCTCTCTCTATGGTCCCAGCAGCTGTTTCAAAGGCAGGCGGTGGACTAAGGTTCGCACAAGCCAGGCCACAGATACAGATCGAAACTTCCACGAGTCGGCCAAGGGCGGCACGAGGCAGGATAGGAGCTTGGATATGCAACGACTGGGTAGATTGACACGATCGAAACTAACATCACGGTCTCTAGTTACGGTGCTTCCCTGCGAAAGCAGGTCAAGAAGATGGAAGTTACCCAGCACGCCAAGTACACCTGCACTTTCTGCGGAAAGGTCACCGTCAAGCGACAGGCTACTGGCATCTGGGATTGCAAGTCTTGCAAGCGCACCGTTGCTGGTGGTGCTTACACCGTTGCGTTCGTTCTCCCAACTCTATCGGATGATGCATATCAGGATGGACCACTAACCAAGAATAGCACACCTGCCGCTGCCGCCATGCGATCGACTCTGCGACGTCTCCGAGAGATTGCTGAGGTTTAAGGATGGGCTCTAGCGGAAGGAGAAAACGGCTTTGCTTTTCGGTATGGTGTACGGGGGATATGGATTTCGTGCCTACACTACGAGTTGACGATCTGGACGTCAACACCCGATCTTCGATCACATAGAAGCCGATCGATTAGCAATGAACAAAAAAGAATTGCAGGCTTCGGACCCATTCAACAACTCTCCCGCCCCGTGCAAGTATAAATTAACAGAACTGTTGTCATCTTTCAGCCATCGCAGGAGTCTACTATCGGCCAGAAACTGGACTGAACGATACGAACAGGTCCCATGCCAACATGGTAACCTCTTCTTGGCCATCCCCCAAGTGTCTACGTCATGAGCTCCATGCCAGGACCGTATCTTACGCCGCCGCATGTCCATCGTCACTCTCTGCTGCGTACCGTGGGGCTCACAAGTACGGTAGAACATTCTTCTCCAGTAATCAGAGCCGATTTCGACAGCATTTATGTCTGATCCGATTTACGTCGAGGGACATGAGCTGCGAGATCTCTTCCCCTGATTAGCTTAATCATTTAAATCCTCTTAAACCTCGTACGACCTGATGTACCCATTATTTTCTGTAGTCTGAACTTCTCAGTTTTCACAAGACATGGTTGGCAAGAGACGTGTTGTTAAGGCAGAAGTATGATTCATGCAGTGTTCAGTGATAAACACGTCTGGCTAGTACATTGGGGCGTTGTCGAAGCAGTTAGGCAAATCGTATTGCCGGGGGCAGTATGATAAGTGGAAGTCTTTAATACTCTCAACATGGACAGTATCTTGCCACGAGATCTGACTGTCAAGTTTGGCTTGTGAGATGGGTTCTGACTTCGTGAGCCATGGCAAGTTTGCATCATAGCTTTCTGGGGTTCTGTATTGCACTAAATTTGGATGCTTGCCGTACCAGTGTTGCCCTCCAATTGTGACTCAGGATACTGTCATCCTCGATGGTATCTTGGATACGTATCTTTGGCCCATTATGTGATGTGTTAGTGCGCAGTCACCCGTGAATCTCCTTGGTCTAAAGCACTGAGGGCACGGCAAGTTCTCCTTTGGTAGGTTTGTATTGAACAGTCTGACTCCTTCTTGAGATACATTCTCTCTCGATAAGGTTCAGCTTCAACGGAGTAATCGTCGATGAATTCACGTCGGTTCTTACACTTTTGATGTATTGACTCAAGCTCTGCTGTATCTTGGTAGGCGTTCAAACTCTACTTCAAGCAGAAACACAGTGTCCCTTGGTCACTGCCCTTAGCTGCAATCAAAGCAGCTCTTACTATTTCTTTTTATATGACATTCATGAGCTGCCTTCTTCAATATTGATTTGTTAAAATAATATGGTTGCTGACCGACTACAGTCTTGTGCATACCTACCCCTGTCCAATGTAAATAGAGCTACCTACTCTAGGTACTAAGTTACCTTAACTTAGGACCATGCGCCCAGTCAGTCGCGCCAGCTTGTAGTAAAAAAAGACACCGTTTGCTGGGCCGAATGACCAAGGACGGACGGTGTCGAGTCCGGGACTCGGAAAACAGATGAGGGGAAGGCGAAGGATAGAAGGAAGGCATGATGTTCTTCTACACGGCATAGGAATGGTACCTCACAGAAAGTACTGAGAATTATCTTTCCCTGCCTGTTAAACTTGTGCGTACTAACGCGCCTGTGTTCAAAATGCCTACCTCGAGGTACGGTACCGGTAGTCAAGTCTGACGCGACCAAGAGTCATCCGTCATCAGGGTCTCTCCCCACCGTGCATTTGTTTTGCTCTGCAGGCACATAATAACCTAACATTTATTTCTTCCAGGCGTGGCGCTGATCCAGGACGGGTGAGCGCTCATTGGCCCCGATCACGTCCCTGCTAGGCTCCTAGGTTCCTTGAAAACACCCATTCCCCTAGAGCTGGATCTCTTTCTCATATTTTCTTCTGCCTTTGCCTGCAGGGCTCCTGTCCACTAATGCATCACCATTCGGGTGTCAACCTAAGCCAGCCTGCTAAGTTACGGTACTTTGCCCCCCCAAAAACGAGCCATCCCGCCTAATCGATCACGACGGGACCTCTCCATCCATCCCATCCCATCCCATTCCCTTTTACCACCATCACCGCCTGCTCGAATCGTCTTTAATTCACTCGATCTTATTTTACATGTTTTCATCAAGATACGATCTGCGTTATCAATTTCGATATCATGTCTGAAGCGGAGCAGTGCATCATATGCCTGGATCCTCTGCCCCGTCCCTCGGCTGCCCTCCAAGCTCCAGCTGCCCTCACTGTAGCTGCGAGTGATGCTGCTGCTGGTGTTTCTGGCGGCGAGCCCGCATCCGCACCCGAGTCCGCGCCTATTCCAACCACAACCTCCACAGCCTCAGATGTTCTTGAGAATGACACCAATTATCTGAACATAGTTGCGTCACTTGACGGGTGTAATCACATTATTCATGATGCATGTATTCGTTCCTGGGCTCAAAAGACAAACACATGTCCCATTTGTCGTAATCCCTTCCATTCAGTTCGAGTGTACAACGGGGTCGATGGTATGTAGGAAGCTTATTCTCCCACTTCGCACATGTCATGTCCATTCACTAACACTTTCTTTTCTGCAGGTACCGTCATTTCGAAATACGATGTCCAAGATAAAAAACAGGTTGCTGAATTCGATGTAAGACAGTGGCTTGGCGAAAACCCCGAAGACGAAGAGGAGGAAGAGCAAGGCAACCCATGTCCTATTTGCAACTCTTCAGAAAGGGAGGATGTTCTTCTCCTGTGCGACAGCTGCGATGCAGCCTACCATACGCATTGTATTGGTCTTGAGGCCATTCCAGACGGTGATTGGTATTGTATGGAGTGCTCTCACCTCTTTCAACTGGTGGAAGAGCCAAGGACCACTGAATCTGGCGAACAATCTCCTCGTCCATCGTACGTGCGACGTCCGAACCCCCGGAACGTTCGTGGTTACCATGTACGAACTCGAGCACGATTAAGGCGAGCCCGTCGACAAGCTCGAAATGTCGAGTGGCAAGGCGCCTGGGGTCAGTTTTCCGGGCGGTTCTACGAGATGAGCGACTTGGATTTGGACAACCACGATGATGAAGATGAGGAATTGGAGCAATACAGGAGATTCCAGGAACTCGGGCGACGCGAACTCGAACGCTGGCAGCAAAGAATGGATATTGCCCGCCGCCTGGGCGCTCGTGACGTATTCATAAACAACATACCTTCTGCTATTAGCGAACGGCTTCAGTCAGCACCAGAGCCAGTACAAGAAACGGCAGACGAAAGACGAGCTTGGGGCGCTTTGGAACGTGCTCGTGAAACGGATGAACCCAGCACCACTTCTCGCAAGCGCAAAGCACGATCTGTGACTGCGTCTCCGCGCGAACCCGTTCAAGAACCCGAAAGGAAGCTCAAGCGCCCTCGAACACGTCGCTTGCCCACCCAGAATGGTGAAGGTTCAAGCTCCGTATCTTCTCCAGCGCCGGCTGGGCCCTCGTCAACACGACCTGTGCCCAATGGATCGTCATCGAGAAATGGTACTGTCGACCATAGCAGTAACGATCCTCCCTTGGTTTCATCACTACTGAAGGAACTCGAGCCTAGCATTATGTCTGAGGACGAGACAATGACTACCAATGGGTGGCGGCATGCACCAGAGGCTTCATCCCCAGCCCTCTCGCCGGCGATATCTCCGTCCCCATCAAATTACAGTAGCCCACGGGCTCTTTCTCTTACCCCTCCTCCTATGCCAAACTTCAACGGCCGACCAACTTCACCAACACTCTCGCTCAGCAGTACTATTCAACCTCGTTACGCCCCCGCGAATTACTCGCCGACTCGTTCAAACCGTGACCACAGCGACTCAGAGACGCGTTCAACCAGACCCCATGCAAACTATTCCCCGACTCATACAAGCAATGACCTGTCCGATTCAGAGACACACTTGGTGAAGGTCCCAGAGAGCCGACCGTTAGAACTACGACAACCACGGCCACGCCGTCCATCTGAGGTACCAGCTCAAAAAGAGGAACAACCGTCAGCAGACTCCAATATCACCCAGGAAGACAAGATCAGCATAAATGAGATTGTCAAGGGCGCATTACGACCACACTGGCGGTCTAGAAAACTAACAACGGAACAATACTCGGTTATCAACAGAGATATTTCAAGAAAGCTTTATGACGAGGTGAAAGGCGCGGCATCATTGAGCGATGAAGCCCGACGGCAATGGGAAAACAGAGCAACTAAGGAGGTTGCTCAAGCAGTTGCAGAATTGTCTGCTTAGCTTAATGATAGAATGAATCAAGGCGGGAAACAAGAGTTAAGCAGGCGTTCAGGCATCATCAAGGGGATCCATATGGTTTGATACCCAGCATCTTTCGAAAGGCGGGCATGATTCATTGCATTTTGATAGCGTGGTGTCACAACGGAGTTGAAATCGGGTGTCAACGCGAGTTCGATATATGTACAGATATCATAAGTTTGGGTCATGTTTGCATTATGGCTCTTATGTCACTAGGTAGTCTCACGTTCTAATGCGACGTTCTCGTTGGCGTATGCCACTTTGTCGTTGTTTTGTCAATGTCATGGAGAATGTTCACCTTTAGCTGGCAGCGTGACCGGCTTAGATCCAAGGCCTACCACATGTGCGGCATTTTTTTCAAGAGCTTAGTTGCAAGTGCTTGAAACAACTCCGTTGATAGGAGTATTTCAATTAGCTATCAAGCTTTATTGAGATGACATGAAATGTCAGCAGTATCTATCTAACAGAACCCGGTAGGATGAAGAATTTTCTTGCAGGCCCCGCTAGCGAAAAAGACTGCGGATTTCTTCTCGGCACACGTAAATGATCGAGACGTTCTGGAGGTGGAAACAGGTCTTGACGATAAGGAAATGGTGCCTTGAGAGGAAAAGAAAGAGGAGGAGGAGACAGATGCTGGAAATTTATTTCAATGATATGTGTCTTGTTGCCTCAGGCGCGAAAAAATGCATGGACTCTGCCTG